CGAATGCCGCCAACCATATGGATACTCTAATTTCCGAATGTACATGCTGCCTTTGAATGTCGGATACGCAGCTCACTGTGTATCTTCTGGTCAGTTGGTTTCACACTCCCAAGGCGATGTAAACATATCATCAACAATGCTGTGTTGCCGCAATATTGTAGAGTGCACCTCCGGGGAATGCTGAAAGAGACAGACAGTTTTGCTTGTGTTGTTGATTAGCCCGAACTGGACCGCTGTCGAAGTCAGAGCACTAGTCATGTGCTGCAACGCATCCGCGCTGTGTGCAAAACAACACAGTCATCAACGAAGAGCAACATATATATAGTTGTGTCACAGACTACTGTTATCGCACCGAAACGACGGATGTTCAGCAACCCACCATCAATACGGTGCTCCACGCGTACACCGTAGGCTCAAGCCACATCAAAAGCACAAGACATCATGGCATAAAGATAAATATTAAATGGGGTAGGAGGTAAGACAAGTCTATGCTTCACTCCAGGGACAACCGCAACTCATCCGAGTTCTACTTACTCAGTTGTACCCTCTCTAGCATACCATTGTGAAGACATATAATTAAACTTACAGTTATTCGGACAACCAAAATTAACCAACCCCAGCAACAGTGCCTCGCTGTTCACCGTAACAAATGACTTGGTGAAATCAACGAACAGCGAGTAAAACGGCTGGTGTCGTTCTCTACAGTTCTCTTGCAACTGACGGGCCACAAGCACCATATCGATGATGCTGCGACCCAAACGGAATCCACATTGCTCTTCCGCCACCTTCGGTTCCGCAACCTGACTAACGAGTCGTCTGAGCAAGACTCAGGCATTCACCTTGCTAACACAACTCAGCAAGTTGATGCCAGGATAATTGGTGCAACATTGCTGGCTTCCTTTGCCCTTGTAAATGACAGCACAAGAGCATCATTTAGCTCAGGAGGTACTCCTCCTTAATCCGCAAACGTTGCATCAAGTGGGGCAGAACAGTCATTAAAGCGGGTCAGCCGTGTTTCAATACTCCAGGCGGTGTTTACGTCGGCAACGGTGCGAGAACTGTAGTCCGTGAGACAACTCTCCGTATGTTGCTGTTCTCTGACGACTGTACGTTGTTTGCACATCGCACGGATGAGTTTCAGCACATCACCAGTGCTGCGGCTTCGACAGCGGCCAAATTCGGGCCAACCAGCAGCACAAGCAAAACTGGCTGTCTCATTCAGACTTCACCGGAGGTACACTCTGTAATATTGCCGCAAATCAGCATTGGTGATGTAGTGTTGGAAACCACCTCCCACATTTGCTATCTTAAAAGTGTGCACTCAACTGACCTGCGAATACAGCACGAACCTGTATGTGTACAATTCCATGGCGCTCCCCTTTCTTCTATACGGCAGAGAAACATGGACGACGTACCGACGAGATGTGAGATTTATCGAGCGATTTCATCAATAGTTTCTGAGACGGATTCTTTGCTTTGGTTGGTGTGATAGAGTAGCCGACACGGAAGTGTTGCGCCGAAGTGCAATGTATACAGTTTACTGCAGACATTTGCTGAGATACTTAAGGTGACTCGGTCATATGTGGCTTATGAATTCCACGCGGATACCGAAGCAGCTATTATATGGTCAAGTGAGTATTGGAAAAAGGCATGTGGAGAAACGGAAGTTTCGTTACTAGGAAATGAACAAATTGAGACTACCACGTACTAATGTTGGTTTCAGATCATTGGAATCGAAGATGGTTGATCGGTGTGCAGACAGGATCAGATTACGAAGGTAGTTGAGGAGGTGCAAGAGAACGCCCTCCTGCATGCGGAGAGGAAGCGGCAGATGCGAATGCGTTAGGTGCCCATGCGTTGTATTCCATCGAAGTCGAGAGCATGGTGTTGTAGCACTCTGGTCGCGAGTGCTTGCGTCAGGCAGGCCAAGTTAGCTACGAGTGAGGCCACTTGGGACCAACATCGAAAAAAACGACTAGTGCTGCTGAGAAGGTAAGCGGAACCGTCACAGCTTCGGTAGGTTATCTGCTTTCTACTTACTACCCACGTGCTTGGATGCTGGATATTTTTGTTTCAACTGGTGTATTTGGTATCTTCTCTTAATGGCCATTTTTGCCTCATTTTAACGTCCAACTTTATACTCTTCTATTAACTTGCTGACCTCGCTTATGTAATTGTGTTTAATTTCGCTAACGATTTCGCGTTTTTTGAAAAATATTGTTTCTGACCTCTTGAACTTATCGCAGGTTTGGTGATAGCCAATTTATTACGTGTGCTATTTTAGCGAAGGCTGATGTCGACATATCCGTATGCTTTATTCGATATATATTAGTTGATGATGTTGTTGCAAGGATTGGCTGGTTTATGACACCCGCGGTGTGGCTGCGCTTGATGTGCAAGTTTACAAGGTGCCTAGCTGTCTACCACCCTACACCTCGATTACTGGCTCCAGAACACTGTGTATCATTGCTCTGGTGGATCTGGTGCATGGTTCTCGTTACCATGTCAGGCTCCAAATGTGGTTCCGTTCAGTGTGGAGCGGACTAGTTAGCAGCCATGGCCTTGTGAAAGCATGATCCCCAAAGCAGCTAGACAGAAATGCTGCTGCTGTGAATGTTGAAGGTATGTGTGCCGTCTCCGTCGATGAAACACGGCTCCAGTGAAAATTCCTCCCGGTCTTATTCCTTCTGGTTTACACTGGATATGGGGTGTGTGGATGGAGCTGCGACTGGTGCATTGCAAGCCACTCATGGTCGCTCAGTAGGCGCAGGCTTCTTGTGGCTGTCCTATGATGGCCACAATGACAGGCACATAGGGAACTGGATGCCGCTAATCATAGCTACAGGGTGTTTTATTAACCGTGTCCGGAGTTAGGAGTGGATACACTCAGGTGCTCACGTGCAAACATTTCACACATTTCATGTAAATATAAGTAAAGCGATGACTAAATATATATTCTCCATTGTACACAAGAAACACCATCGTAGGCCTGATCAAACTGTAAAACTAGCAATTGTCTGACTGTGAGGGCAATAGTTGCATTCATGATTAAATTGGTGTGCTGTCTAACGGTGCCACCAGTGCGTCGGGGCAGACTGAAATCTAAGAGCATTGTCACTTCAAGTCAAGTCAAGAATTCGTTTTTATGCACCCATGAAGGGTGAATTTTCAGCTGTAACACACACGCAATCGAAACGGTGAAGTGAACAACACTGTAACCTTACAATTTGCTCTCTGCAGTATGATTCCCTTTAGCAGCGAAAACAGCCCAGTAAATGCTTACGGGTTTGTTGGAAACCGTTCATGATTTGATAACAGCTTATAGACAGGTTATCACAGATGGTCAGGCTGTTTTTCTCAATTTGCTAGCACAGCGACCCACTAACCACTTCGCAGGGAACCCTTTTGCTAACTTTTCACCTGCGTGAAGGCCGACTGCCGATCGATCGAAGGATGACACGTTCATTGCGGCTGTGGTGTTTGCTAACGTTCACTTCCCACAGCCTAATTGATCGGCGTACCCTGCGATCATAGACACGCATGTCGCGCCCCTGTGCCCCATCTCACCTCTGCCGGCAAAGCAATTTGCGTCATTGGACAGTTAGCAATTCAGCGTACCGGGGTACGTCAACACCTGAGTACAGCGGCTTCCAGCTCCAGACATGATTACTAAAACACCCTGTATATATAGAGTTAAACCTAAGGTGACCACTCAAGTGACGGACAAAAGTAGTCTCTATGGAGAGTTTCATGCATAGGGACAATACTCATAGGAGAGAAAAGTTTTCTACATAGGCAGCTGGTCGGCCCAAACAGGTAGTCTCGATGGCAGGTTGAAGACTATGTATCATGTTTGACTCTTTGAGTCGGTAAAAGTCTGTGGCAGTTTGGCCTCTGAGTATACCTATCTGCATTTCATTTTGTCACCATATCTAGTCTTGTTGTTCTCACTGATAATATAGTTATGCCGGCAAATATTAAACCTAGCTAACTGTTAGCTCACGTACGGAGTGAAGTCACGAGTCCAAAGCATTCTTTGGGCTGGGCTGCTGAAGCCCAAAAGGTAAACTGGGCGCTTTTCAGTTAGATCAACCAAATGTTTGTCAATTGTTTCACTCTTGTTCCGATGATTGCGATACAGAGTCACGGCACTTATATCAAGCTATTAGCTGTGTCACAAATAATAGCATATATTTACGAAAAAACAAATACCTTCCTGCTGAGAACATCTTTGTATTAGTCTTGGTATTAGTCGCTTCATTTGGCGATATCCAGTATCCAGTCTGTCCGTTTTCTTTCCATAACGTCTTTGCACTTATTTGGCTTATTAGCAAACTCCACTGAGAGAATGTGCACACCTTGAAGCCCTACAACAATGCTTCGTTTCATTAAATGTTTGAATAAACCAAATCCTGCTGCATACATTTCGTCCAACTTCTTATAGATTTCTGAACAAGTGACGTAAAGATGGTCGGCATAATTGCTCGGAGTTAAGCAGTCCGCTCATGTATCCGTCAGAATTTACCTACTACTGCAACTGGTTTGTCAAGCAATAGGGGCTATCGTCACACCGTTTTCGGCGCATACTGCAATCCAGGTGACCATTTTTGCTTCGAATTACTTTGACTTATCCAAACATAGGAACATGTGTCGCACTAACAGGAAGCTCACCAACGCAATACCCCTTGCGTTTGCGAGCAAGACATATGGCAGAAACTCACTCACCATCTGATTCCATCTTAAACAGCCCATTGGTCATCTGTGACAGCTAGTGCATGGGGGAGGGCTTGCGGGTGAGCTGATTGGTTGAACTAATCACTTCAGGCGACTGGTGCTAACGATGCCTTGTGCGCCGTTGCCATGCGGCAGGCGGGGATGAATTTAGTATTGACAGGTGGAATTCCTTCAGTGGAATTGAATTACGCTCGCCTCACCCGTCTTAACAGCAAATAGTTTCCCCGGATTAGTGAGTGGTGTACTCAGACCCATCGAAGAGACGAATGAGGAAAGACTTTCACACAAGAATATGCTTGACCGGATTCCGGCACAGCTGCACGGCACGAATATCACTAACCTACGAAATGATGCCAAAAGCTGCCAAATTCGGTACGGGGGTTGGCGAGGCAATTTCAGCTGTTCAACGTCGGCTTTTCGCTTCATCCTTTCCTACCACAATGCACGAACAATTGTTTCGGCTTTCAGAGGTAACGTACTATTGCATTATGAACACCATATTTCGGAATCACTTGTACTTCATCCTTAATAATGAATCATAAGTAAGTAATTTATACTCTGCCTTTGAGGGCGGGGGTCGTTTTAATAATTCTGTCAGTTTGGTGGCTTTGTTATTTCGAACAAATCGTACCGATTTTCGTGGTTATTGAAAGCCATAAGTTTTTGCTTAATTCGCAAAGATGGCATGAAATTGTTAAATTTATTTTTTTAGCCGCCACAACCGTATGAGAACTTACTGTGAAGAATATAGGGTATGTTGAGAAATGAGACAGAAGTGTAGAAAAAGCTGTTTTTATTTCGTGACTGAAGCTTGGTGACCTCGGGTGTTCTTTCAACTGCTTTACATTTGCATGGAACGGCGATAACATTTGCAAGGGAGTCTGAATCATGAGTACATGGAATATTAATAGAAAAACGTAAGGGGACTGGATCTTTAAATTTTGACTTCTATGAGTTGTAAGTCGGATAACCACATGTATGCTGCGCAGTGACCTATAAACTACTTTTGCTGCCCTGGGTGGTGGTAAGAATTTCAACCTGACTGTGGGCAGAATAGGCGCATGAATGCCACACAATCGGCTGAGGGCAAAGTGCACATTAGTTTTCGATGAAATGGGTCGTCGTTTTGGGACTCTGAAGTGAATGTGGTGAAACTGGTCACGATGGAACTAGTAAGGGGGTCATTGGGAATAACGTTTGCACCGGTGTGACACATGGTGCGAAGATTTGGTTGGTCATACAGAGTCACAATGAATTATTCAATCCTTAGATTATCTGAAAATTTTGCCCTTTATATTTGTATCCAGTGCTCAAAGGTATTAAAATTTCCGCCTCTGTCACATGCCGACCCCCGCCCTCTTGTCACGCCTCTGTTGCTGAGATTGTAACAGCCTTATTTTGGACTATGAATAACTTAAGAGCAAACTTCAGTCATCTTTCCCATCAGGGTCAAGTGGCAAACTGATATTTGAGGAGCAGCCAGTATCAAAATGCTTCATACAATATTGTAGCATTTGCATTTGCTTATGGCAAGATGTCAAATTCTATCGTCTAGTACAGTAGCATCTCAGTCCACCATAAGTTATCCTGCCTCGTTTGTTTGTTATGAACTGTGAATAGACCATCAGCTAAGGCGAAACTTGCCAGAAGTTGGCGCTTTGAAAATCACGGTACATTCGTCGAATTTTTAACAGTTGCCCACCTGGGCGGCAGTGTCGCGTAATTCATCCGGTTGGTAACTCGTCATCCATGCCAATCAATTTGTGCAGAATGTCTGTGCAATGTGACGTGAGTCTAGTATTCAGGAGCTCGTTTGAGCAGGTTAGGTCTACGGTCTCGGTCCACGGTACACCAAATGTGAGGTTGAGTTCCATTAGGGAATCAAGCGTGTGATCACATCGTCCTCACTCATTGAAGACGGTACATCATGCACCGCCGAAACTTGTATAGGAAATAGTATCTCACCGCTGATTTCAGAACAACCTGAATTTGGTCAGCGTCATCTAAATATATAAATAAATGTATCTTAAATTATGCCATTAATATTGCTTATCCACGTAAGCCTTCGGATCCGCAATTTCCTTTGTCAGTTTTACGTGGCTACTGACATTTTGGAGCTGTTATTTCACGTGGGAATTTCCTAAGCTCCAAATTACACAGGACCATTAAGTGCATGTTACCGAGTACTAATGTTAACACAGCCTATATTTGTCAAACAAACCTATCTCAGGCCACTTATGGTTCACAAACACGCACTTGTGTCAATTTGCCAAATAACCATTAAACCTCTAGTTTCCACGTGTTCGTTTTTATTTTCACATATTCCTTTCGTTTTTCTTCACGGTTCCTTTGTTTAGGGCATCAGCATGCTTCGTAGGAATCCATAGGCTGCTTAAACTACTGAACAAATTGAAAGCAAAACCCCAATGTTATAGCTTGTATTAGGTGTGCGGCTGAAATCATGTTTAACGAAAAGATTGGGCTAACAGTGTGTTACATCTGTCTTTTATTTCCGCAACTAGAATGACACAGCTGAGTACAGGAAAGCTGTAGTTCGTTTGTATTCAATTTTCTCACCCCGGTACTGTAATGGCCGCGCACATCATGGAATCCAAATCACATGACTCAATTTATGTTAATTTGATTCTAAATTAACCATCAGGGAAATCTTTAAAACAGCCTGTGTGTGACACGGGGTGGGATAATGGGATAATGGGATAATGGTATAATGCGGATAAAAATGTCAAGGCATAAGAATGGTTTGCTGAAATACACAAATTGGCCACAGAATATTACACAAGCGAGAAGACCGCATTGTGAACTCACCATATGATACACGTTAACACAAGAAATATATCCATGTAAGCCCAAATTAATCGTGGGTTAGTGAGCAAACATGTTTTTTTCT